AGAGAGAAAGAGAGAGAGAGAGAGAGAGAGAGAGAGAGAGAGAGAGAGAGAACAGGAAGTAAGGGGCGTCTTTAAACCTCCTATCTTGAATATTGTAAAACTCTTTTTAGTTAATGAATTAAGGTAATGAGAACGTCTTCACTCTAAAACGCGTGTGTTTGCCCCGTCCTGTTATTCGTATCCAAGCTTCCCTTTTTTTAATGTAGATGTCTTACGAGTCTTATGCCCCCATCGACACAATCTAGATAACTAAGGAGGCGGGTTTCGACTCTGTCTGTCAGTACTGAGAGGGATTCGATATCCCAGCAGAAAGACCGGGGTACTCAATTTAAAAAATGTTCACCCAGGAATCGAGCTCAGGCCTTCTGCGTGCGTCGGCGAAACGCCTCGCTGATACACAATAAGCGCCGATGTCCTAGCTTCACTTTTTAATTAGATGTCTGGTAATGTTTTATAATTGGTGAAAATTCATTATATATTATGTAAAGTTCTCACAAAGCCAATTTTAAAAAAAAAGAAGAAACTATCCATTTTATTGGGAGGGGTAGGATGTCAATGTAACTCAACGCATTTGGCACACGCTTATCGAAGAAACCTATCGTGAAATCCTGAAATCCGAGTCATCTTGTTTGCTTGGTACAAAAAGCAGTGTCATTCTAATCAGGGAAAACAATATGCAAAGTGAGGAAAGGATGTGTATAAGATACGATTCTATCGAACGTGACTAATTGGATGTCCGTATCATGACGTTATTCCACATCATATTGACATGGAGGACTTAAAATAGAAAGACATACTAGAGGTTTCAGATATCGAACAGGGAAGAACAATTCCAGTGAAAATATATAGCTTCAAACTTATTAATCATAAAAAAAGAGATAAAACGAAATCAAAGAAGAAATCTAAACATTTCTGTTTTCTATAGCTTTCAAATTCAATGAGAAAAAAAAAATCATGCGGCGTAATCAGATCTAAAATAATGAAATAACAAACAAACAAACAACCCCCCCCACACACACCATCACACACACACACACGCACACACACACACACACACACACACACAGATACACACACAAAACAGAATATCACGTATAAAGTATATTTAGAATCAATGAAATATTTGCAGATAATCATTGAAAAAGATCTCTCACAATGTCAGCCCTTTAAAAAAAATTCCGTTTTAGATGAAAGTGCCGTATTATTTCTGCCTTTTGGAACATTTCTTTATGTAAAAAAAGAAAAAAAGAAGAAGAACCACTGTTCCGTTCTGTTTCGCTTTCCCGTAATCTACACCTCTCGTATTACACCCGTGGTGCCAGCATCGATGTCAGCATCCACTGTATAGGGAAAGATTATTATGGGCATGCAAACATCCAGTCTGGGAGAGGCGTCAATCCCAACCGGTTTTTCCTTTCTACATTTGCCGATCTTGGCCCTCTTTAAAGTGATGGCGGCCGAAGTCCTTCGAGCAAACAGGCAAAAACGTTCGATAATAGATTTCTCTCAGATCGTACAACCAGCGGCTTTTGAACAGCTCATCGCCCACTCCCCTCCCCCCTCCCCTAAAAAACAAAAAAATAAAAGTAAAAAACCGTCAAGACTCCACTTTCCCCCATCAGCCATCCTGTTATATTATTTTGACAAGTTTACTCCTCTTTCTCTCTCTCTCTCTCTCTCTCTCT